TTTCCTACAGATGGATCCAGTCATGCGAACCCACCAGAGAGATGTCCCCATCCTCTGTATTCCCGGGATTCCACACAGGAAGGTCCCACCATCTCTCACCAGGATCAGGTAGATGGATCCAGTAATGGGAACCCACCAGAGAGATGTCCCTGTCCTCTGTATTCCAGGGATTCCACACAGGAAGTTCACATCATCCCTCACCATCATCAGGTAGATGGATCCAGTCATAGGAACCCACCAGAGAGATGTCCCCGTCCTCTGTATTCCCGGGATTCCACACAGGAAGGTCCCACCACCTCTCACTATCATCAGGTAGATGGACCCAGTAATGGGTACCCACCAGAGAGATGTCCTCGTCCTCTGTATTCCCGGGATTCCACACAAGAAGATCACAACTATGCACGCTGTTATCAGGTTGGTTGGAGCATCTAGAGCAGGGGTACTCAAACTACGGCCCGCGGGCCACATGCGGCCCGCCGAGGCCATTTATCCGGCCCGCTGGCAGGGGCAGGACAGGAAGGGACACTAAGTACAGGGGTGGGCAGGGGGCTGCTGTACCTTACCTGGCTCCGGTCCCAGTCCCACGACGATCCAGTCCAGGAAGCGCTGCTCCTTCATTCACTCCGGCCACTCCCTCACTCCTGCCGCTCGGCTCCGCCTCCTCACCGGTGATTGGGCACCAGAACTGTAGCTCAGGAAAGGCACACAGGTGGCCAATCACCTGCGAGGATGCGGAGCCGAGCGGCCCCACGAACATCGAGTGAGAGAGAGGCCGGAGTGAAGAAGGACAGCTGACAGGTAAGTGTGCCGTGCTGATGGTGCTGCTGCAACCAGGTATGCTGGCTGCAGTAGCACCTAGGCTGGAGCAGGGGTCAGCAAGTTACGTGTCAGTGGGAGTAATAGTGCCCCATCATTGGTGTGTCACTGATACTAATGATGGGGCATTATTCCTCCCACTGACACCAATGATGGGGCACTATTCCTCCACTGACAACAATGATGGGACACTATTCCTCCCCCCACTGACACCAACGATGGGGCACTATTCCACCCTCCACTGACACCAACGATGGGGCACTATTCCACCCCCTCCACTGACACCAACGATGGGGCACTATTCCTCCCCCCACTGACATAAATGATGGGACACTATCCCCCCCACTGACACCAACGATGGAACACTATTCCTCCCACTGACCCTAATGACGGGACACTATTCCCCTCCACTGACACAATGACGTACTATTCCTCCCACTGACACCAAAGATGGGGCACTATTCTTCCCACTGACACCAATGATGGGGCACTATTCCTCCTACTGACACCAATGATGGGGCACTATTCCCCCCCACTGACACCAATGACGTACTATTCCTCCCACTGACACCAGTGATGGAGCACTATTCCCCCCCCACTGACACCAATAATGTACTATTCCTCCCACTGACACCAATGATGGGGCACTATTCTTCCCACTGACACCAATGTTGGGGCATTATTCTTCCCACTGACACCAATGATGGGACACTATTCCTCCCACTGACACCAATGTTGGGACACTATCCCCTTCCCCCACTGACACCAATGACGGGGCACTATTCCACCCCCCCACACTGACACCAACGATGGGGCACTATTCCTCCCTCCACTGACACCAATAATGGGGCACTATTCCTCCCCCACTGACACTTATGATGGGGCACTATTCCTCGAACTGACACCAATGATGGGGTACTATTCCTCCCACTGACACCAATGATAGGGCACGATTCTTCCCACTGACACCAATGATGGGGCACTATTCCTCCCACTGACACCAATGATGGGGCACTATTCCTCCCACTGACACTAATAATGGGGCACGATTCTTCCCACTGACACCAATGATGGGGCACTATTCCTCCCACTGACACCAATGATGTGGCACTATTCCTCCCACTGACACTAATGATGGGGCACGATTCTTCCCACTGACACCAATGATGGGGCACGATTCCTCCCACTGACACCAATGATGGGGCACTATTCCTCTCACTGATACCAATGATGGGGCACGATTCCTCCCACTGACACCAATGATGGGGCACGATTCCTCCCACTGACACCAATGATGGGGCACTATTCCTCCCACTGATACCGATGATGGGCACTATTCCTCCCCCCACTGATACTAATGATGGGGCACTATTCCTCCCACTGACACCAATGATGGGGCACTATTCCTCCCACTGACACCAATGATGGGGCACTATTTCGCTCCATAAGACACACTTGGGGGGAAATGTCTGTGCGTCTTATGAAGCGGCCGGCCCAGTATTCACACCGCCGTTGTATGTCCGCAGTCTCTGGTCATCTCCTGTACTGTGTCTGCATTTGTTCATAGTTTTTTTTTTTTTTTTAAACTATAGTCCGGCCCTCCAACGGTCTGAGGGACAGTGAACTGGCCCCCTGTTTAAAAAGTTTGAGGACCCCTGATCTAGAGCATGAACATGACTCAACATTGCAAGACAATGTGTGAACTCTACAAAATATTTTATTTGTTGTCTTACATCACCAAACCTTATATTTTCCAACCGTTTCCTTGGTTTAGGGTGATGATCTGATGGACATAAAAGTTGAGGTTAAAACAGAAGAAGAACCATACGTGAGGGACGATCAGTCAATGGAAGAGGGTGCCATGATGGTGCCAATTAAAGAGGAGGAATCTTTACATGTCATGATGGACAATCAGCTGCCCCTCACATCACCGGGTAAGAGAAGACTTTATTTTAAAGGAGAGAGCAGTAAGGAGGCTCCACCTAGATCCCCCATCATCTGATAAACACATAGAAACAATGGATTCAGTCAGTGTGTGTGTTTCCTACAGATGGATCCAGTCATGGGAACCCACCAGAGAGATGTCCCCGTCCTCTGTATTCCCGGGATTCCACACAGGAAGGTCACACAATCCCTCACCATCATCAGGTAGATGGATCCAGTCATGGGAACCCACCAGAGAGATGTCCCTGTCCTCTGTATTCCCGGGATTCCACACAGGAAGATCACACCATCCCTTACCATCATCAGGTAGGTGGAGAGAATGGAAAGTTACTTTAAAATGCTTTAAATTATGAGCTTGTATTACATTTTTTTTGTTATTGATGCTGATATTTGAAGATGTTATTTTCAAACAATTTATTTAGCATGAAGAACTCGTGAAAGTTGAGGTTAAAGAGGAAAAAGAAGAGATGTTGGTGAGTTCTGATCATCAACCTGCAGAGGAGGAATCTTCATTATATATCAGGACAGGTAAAGGTAAGTAGTCATCATATTACCCCTTCATTATCAGGCCATTGCTCTGTATCAGAATAGTTTGACTGACAATCACTTCATCACTGCACCCAAATTACATTTTTTTTTTTTTTTTAATCGTTTTATCTTCTGGTATTGAGGGAGTTCAAATATGGAGCTTGGTAATGGCGCATTAGATACAATAAAATGTGTAGATCATACACAGAGGAAGGAGGAGGGGAAAGGGTTAATGTACAGGTCACATACAGTGGGGAGGATGGAGATGAGGGGTTTAATGTCCATGATAAGGGGATACTGGACACCATATGAAAGGTCCATCTCCATTCCTCAATATAACGTCATGTTCCCAACAAATGAGGAGATACTGGACACCATATGAAAGGTCCATCTCCATTCCTTAATATAACATCATGTTCCCAACAAATGAGGAGATACTGGACACCATATGAAAGGTCCATCTCCATCCCTCAATATAACGTCATGTTCCCAACAAATGAGGAGATACTGGACACCATATGAAAGGTCCATCTCCATCCCTCAATATAACGTCATGTCCTCAACAAATGAGGAGGAGATACTGGACACCATATGAAAGGTCCATCTCCATTCCTCAATATAACGTCATGTTCCCAACAAATGAGGAGGAGATACTGGACACCATATGAAAGGTCTCTCTCCATTCCTCAATATAACGTCATGTTCCCAACAAATGAGGAGATACTGGACACCATATGAAAGGTCCATCTCCGTTCCTCAATATAACGTCACGTCCCCAACAAATGAGGAGGAGATACTGGACACCATCTGAAAGGTCCCTCTCCGTTCCTCAATATAACGTCATGTTCCCAACAAATGAGGAGGAGATACTGGACACCATATGAAAGGTCCATCTCCATTCCTCAATATAACGTCATGTTCCCGACAAATGAGGAGGAGATACTGGACATCATATGAAAGGTCCATCTCCATTCCTCAATATAACGTCATGTTCCCAACAAATGAGATACTGGACACCATATGAAAGGTCCATCTCTGTTCCTCAATATAACGTCATGTTCCCAACAAATGAGGAGGAGATACTGGACACCATATGAAAGATCCATCTCCATTCCTCAATATAACGTCACGTCCCCAACAAATGAGGAGGAGATACTGACACCATATGAAAGGTCCATCTCCATTCCTCAATATAACGTCACGTTCCCAACAAATGAGGAGGAGATACTGTACACCATATGAAAGGTCCATCTCCATTCCTCAATATAACATTTATGTAACGTTTCTTTCAGCAGATGGACACCATGTTGGGAACTCAAATTCCTCAGAAGGACTTTTTCTTCTATCTCCATATCCTAATGCAGAAGATGTTGTCCTCACACAATACGCTCCCGTGGTACATTCCATCACCTACAGTCTACATCACCCCCCTGACTATCTGAAGCAATCAATGGACCCCTCTAATCTGAAGGGATCTTCTGGTATCTCCCATCCCGTTCCTCCAGAAATACATCTGAAATCTCAGAGTGTGGATGGACCAACAAATCTATCCCATCCCAAGGAATCTTCTGTAGGCCTCAACATTCTTCACGCAGGAGAGAGTTTATTTTCATGTGCAGTGTGCGGGAATTCGTTCACCGAACTCGGAGAACTTCTTATACACCAGAACAGGCACAGGGCTAAACGTGGTAAACGTTCTTTCTCATGCTCCGAGTGCGGGAAAGTCTTCAACCAGGAAAGATTTCTTCATAGGCACCATTTAACGCATACAGGCGAGCGTCCTTTCTCCTGCGCAGAGTGCGGGAGATGTTTCAGTCTGAAAGAAAACCTTCTTAGGCACCAGAAAACTCACACGGGTGAGCGTCCCTTTATATGCCCAGAGTGCGGGAGAAGTTTTGCTGAAAAAAATAACCTCCTTAGGCACCAGACCATTCACACGGGTAAGCGCCCCTTTTCATGTTTGGAGTGCGGGTATTCTTGCCTTTTGAAAGGAGACCTTGTTACTCACCAGAGAATTCACACGGGTGAGCGCCCTTATTCCTGTTCAGAGTGCGGGAAATCTTTCAGTGAGAAAAGATCGTTTCTTACACACAAGAGAAGACACACGGGGGAGCGTCCCTATTCATGTTTAGAGTGCGGAAAAAGTTTTGTTCAGGCAGCAGACCTACGCAAACACAAGAGGATTCACACGGGCGTGTCTTATTCATGTCCAGAGTGTGGGAAAAGTTTCATGCATAAAGGAGATCTTGTTAAACATCAAAGAATTCACACGGGCGAGCTTTCTTATTCTTGTGCTGTGTGCGGGAAATCTTTTAGTGAAAAACTGTCACTAATTAATCACCACACAAGTCACAATCATGAACATCCCCATGCATGTTAAGAGTGTGGGAAATGTTTCATTTACAAATGAAGCCTTGTTAAATGCCAGAGAAGACCTACGAATGAGAGTCCTCATTCATGTTCAGCATTCGGGAACAGATTCCCTACTGAAACAGCAATTCATAGAACTCATACAGGCCAACATCCTTTCTCATGTTCCTAGTGTGGAAAATGTTTCATTGAGAAAGGAAAACTTATACACCAGGAAAGCTGCATAAATAAGCATTCCTTCTATATCTTCAGATTGCGGGAAACGTTTCGCTCCAAAAGTAAATCTCATTTTACATCAGAGAAATCACACAGGTGAACATCTGTTATCATGTTCAGAGTGCGGGAACTGTTCCACCCAAAAAGGAGACCTTCCTAAACACCAGAGAATTTACCAGCGGGAAGCCAGCTGTTCAGCTACAGAGTGCGGGAAATGTTTTACCCAAAAAAGGAGACCTTCCTAAACAGTAGAGAATTCACCATCTGGAGGACAGCTGTTCATCTACAGAGTGCGGGAAATGTTTAAACCAAAAAGGAGACCTTCCTAAACACCAGCGGAAGGACAGCTGTTCAACTACAGAGTGTGGGAAATGTTTCACCCCCCCCCCTCCCCCCCAAAAAAAGACCTTCCTAAACACCAGAGAATTCACCAGCGGGAGGACAGTGGTTCATCTACAGAGTGTGGGAAATGTTTCACTCAAAAAGGAGACCTTCCTAAACACCAGAGAATTCACCATCGGGAGGCTAGCTTTTCATGTTTGAGTGCGGGAAACGTTGTAAATACAAAAGAAATCTACTGAGATATCAGAATATTTGCTCCTGTAGATGTTCCCGGATGTAGAGGTGGAACTGTTGAGTCCGTAGAACAAGCAGATTATAACAACGAGTGTAGAGAGGGTTGTCTTCTGTCAAAAGTGACTTTTCTGCTCCCGCTGGAACCTGAAGACCCAAGTTTTGGAGATTCCATCGGTGAAATCTGTTCCTGGCTCCCGTCCATTGGGGTGTCCTCGTTCTTCTTTCGGCTTGACTAGGGCACAATAGAGTTCCTCAATCTTTCACCAAAAAAGAACCACTACCTCCCCTTCCCCCCCGTATCCCCTGTTTCGAATATACCTGGTTAAAAACTCTGACACCAATTTGGAGTGAAATTGGCCACAGTGGTCCTCGATGAACAAACCAGAAACATATAAAGGATCATAACACTGGTAACCAAGGTTGCCGATCTTTGGAGACTCTGAAGAGCCAACCACGGTTCCTCCGTGGAAACACTTAAAGGTCCCCAGTCGCAATGCACCGGCTCGGGGACAAGCCCAACTGTCCGCCAACACCTCCATGCGCCAACGTTGGATATCACCGAGGACCACCATACCATAGATGGTTCCTTACACTGAAGAATCACAGTAGAAGTAGAACGTCTCCAAAGACCCCAACCATCACTGTACCACCGACCACAACCAACCAGACCTCAGGGGCAGGAGACTGGGAAGCTTCTTCTCCATCCAACGTGGGAAGCTTCTTCTCCGTCCAACGTGGGAAGCTTCTTCTCCGTCCAACGTGGGAAGCTTTTTCTCCGTCCAACGTGGGAAGCTTCTTCTCCGTCCAACCTGGGAAGCTTCTTCACCGTCCAACGTCTTCCCACTGCTTGCAGAAGTTAGATGCCCACCTAACCACCCCTGAAGCCCCTCCCAGCATTCCATACAACCAATCCTGGTTCATAACATCCTATTCAAACATCTTCTAGATGAACCCTGTATCTCCTTGATTCTCCTCTTAGCCCCATCATGTCTGCCCTTTGCTTTTTCTTTTTTGGCTACGAACCTATCTTTCTCCTTAATATCAAGAAGGGAAGAGTGGGAGCCCCTTGTAATACGTCAGGGAATGCCTGTACCTTCACGTGCCTCAGATTCCTCAGGGACAGAGGACAGTTACTTCCGTTATAAAACGTTTAAGATTTGTTCTATTGTGCGTTTGTCACTTATTCTGATTTTGTTAAATAAAAAAAGAAAGCTCTACGAGATGTAGTCCTCAGCCTTTTTTTTTTAATGACCATCATTCTTAGATGAGTTGAAGTTGGAATGTGATCAGTTTATAGAGAGTCGTCCATTTGGTGTTTTATTGGTGGGATGAGGAGCCCAGAAGTCCCAGTTCCCTATGTATCAGCTGATATCTAAGGCTACATGGAGCCACTACAAATATCACCTAGAATATTCCGCATCACCACCATATTGGTTCTTCTCCTCATGGAACAGAGAATATAGCAGTCTGAAGACCCTGGACCAAATAAAAAAGAAAGCTCTACAAGATTTAGTCCTCAACCTTTTTTTAATGACCATAATTCTTAGATGAGTTGAGGTTGGAATGTGATCAGTTTGTAGAGAGTCATCCATTAGGGTTTTATTGGTGGGATGAAGAGCCTAGAAGGCCCAGTTCTCTATGTGTCAGCTGATGTCTAAGGCTACATGGAACCACTACACAAATCACCTAGAATATTCCCCATCACCACCATCTTGGTTCTTCTACTCATGGAACAGAGTATTTAGCAGTCTGAAAACCCTGAACCAAATCCAGTTACGTTTGCCCAGGACCACCACATACAAAGGACATCCTTTTTATTTATTTTTTTTCTTTTACAAATGTTTAATTATTGGTGATTGGAATGTGATCAGTTTGTAGAGAGTCATCCATTGGGGTTTTATTGGTGGGATGAAGAGTCCAGAAGGCCCAGTTCCCTATGTATCAGCTAATATCTAAGGCTACATGGAGCCACTGCAAATACCACCTAGAATATTCCCCATCACCGCCATCTTGGTTCTTCTCCTCATGGAACAGAGTATATAGCAGTCTGAAGACCCTGGACCAAATAAAAAAGAAAGCTCTACAAGATGTAGTCCTCAGTCTTTTTTTTTTTTTTAATGACCATCATTCTTAGATGAGTGGTGGTTGGAATGTTCTCGGTTCATAGAAAGTCATCCATTGGTGCTTTATTGGTGGGATGAAGAGCTCAGAAGGCCCAGTTCCCTATGTGTCAGCTGATATCTAAGGCTACATGGAGCCGCTACATATACCACCTAGAATATTCCCATCACCGCCGTCTTGGTTCTTCTCCTCATGGAACAGAGTATATAGCAGTCTGAAGACCCTCGATCAAATAAAAAAAAGAAAGCTCTATGAGTTGTAGTCCTCAGTCTTTTTTTTTAATGACCATCATTCTTAGATGATTTGTGATTGGAATGTGCTCAGTTCGTAGAGAGTCATCCATTGGGGTTTTATTGGTGGGATGAAGAGGCCAGATTCCCTCCACACAGATTCTTCTCCACATTCCAAGTCAGTGGAGAAGGGTCCTATAAATCTTTGCTCCATGGAGAAGGGCCCCTTACATTAATGATTTGAGGAGAAGGGTCTTCATACATTGGTAGTCAGTGGAGCAAACACTTGGGATCACATTGGCCACTCACATTCCAGGTCAGAGGAGAAGGATCCTCAAAATTGGTGATCAGTGGACCCCTCACATTCCAGGTCAGTGGAGAAGGGCCTTCTAAATTGGTGATCAGTGGAGAAGGGCCCCCTTACATTGGTGGCCAGTGGAGAAAGCCCCCGTTACAATGGTGGTATGTGGAGAAGGGCCCTGATACATTGGTGATCAGTGGAGCAAACACCTGGGATCACATTGGCACCTCACATTCCAGGTCAGTGGAGAAGGGTCCTGTAAATTGGTAATAAGTGGAGAAGGGCTTACAATGTTGGTGGGTGAAGAAGAAACCTCATACATTGGTGGTCAATGGCTCAAACACCTTGGATCACATTGGCCCCTCGCATTCCAGGTCAGCGGAAAAGGGCTTTCTAAATTGGTGATCAGTGGAGAAGGGCCCCCTTACATTGGTGGTCAGTGGAGAAAGCCCACGTTACAATGGTGGTAGGTGGAGAAGGGCCCTAATACATTGGTGATCAGAGGAGCAAACACCTGGGATCACATTGGCCTATCACATTGCAGGTCAATGGAGAAGGGCCCCATTACATTAGTGGTCAGTGGAAAAGGGTGCTTTACATGAATGATCAGAGGACAAGGGACCCCTTACAATGGTGGGGGGTGGAGAAGGACCCTCATACTTTGGTGGTCAGTGGAGCAAACACCTGGCATTACACTGGCCCCTCACATTCCAGGTGAGTGGAGAAGGACCTTTTAAATTGGTGATCAATGGAGAAGGGCCCCATTACATTGATGGCCAGTGGAGAAAGTCCCTTTACATTAATGATCAGAGGAGAAGGACCCCCTTACAATGGTGGTGGGTAGAGAAGGACCCTCATACTTTGGTGGTCAGTGGAACAAACACCTGGCATCACCTTGGCCCCTCACATTCCAGGTCAGTGGAAAAGGGTCCTCTAAATTGGTGGTCGGTGGAGAAGAGTGTCCACACGTTGGTGATAAGTGGAGACAAGCCCCCTCACGTTGGTGATTAGTGGAGAACAACTCCCTCACATTGATGGTCAGTAGGGATAAGCAAAGTTAAGTTCACCTGTTGATTACAAAACCAAGAGAAATCCACAAACTCCGAACATAGTGTCCGAACTTATGGAAATTTGTATTTTAAAAAAATTATAAAAAGCTTGTATTTTTTCTGGCCTTTTTTTTAACCAAATGGAAATGGTAGCTGGCCATAGTTGACATGGAACAACGCCAAAACCATTCAGCAGAGAGGGCAACATTACAAATGCATAATTCCTTTAAGGAACATGTTTGGTGGATGCCTTTTACAGGCACATGAAGTGGTGCACCTATGGGATGTCCTCCAAGAAGAAACGAGTAAAAAAAACTATTGCTGCTAAAGAACTATTCCTTCCCTTGCCTGCTCCTGTTTATTATTAAAGTAGTGGGGTGACCCAGGTGACATCATTGACCTCATATGGT